CACTCCAAAATATCAAAATCAGGGGTTAAAGGATTCACATTCTCTTCAGCTAGATACCTCTCAAGGTCATTTTTCTCCCTATTATCTCCTCGTTGCTTCAAGAATTGACTTAGCAACTCATTGACCGGTTGGACAGGTGGTTGATTTGGAGTATTTGCAGCCATTTCTTGTTTTTTTTTCATTATCTACCTCGTCACCATATAAGGACATCATTTTAGCCAGTGTTTCATCCACTTTGTTGCACAATTTAGAGGCTGTGGCAACATCATAAATCATGCTAAAACAGTACTAAAGATATGTCTTCTTATATCAAGGATCAAGTACAACAGCAATAAATAACATATAGTTAATATTTTCCCCATTGCCCCAATATTTTTCAAACTTCCTTCTCATCCCAAAAGCCATAGTTGACAACAAGCAATCACCACTTAAACATAACTCACTCAACCGTCTTTGAATGGTACAAATCTCATGAAAAAAAGTGTTGGAAGTGACATGTTCTGATGCACTAAATTTCAAAGTGACTTCATAAAAAGTCTTAAGAAATTCAACAAAAATCTTAGCATTTGCCCAATCTTCCTTCATTGGTGGTCCCACTTTTTTCTTCCCACCCTCTTCTTCCAAAAAGTATCCTAAGTACTTTTCATCCTCCTCTTCAAACCTATCAAAGGCCTTTTGGAACTTAAGAGCAACATCTAACATCATGTATGTTGAATTCCACCTAGTTGGGACATCTAAGATCAACATCCCCTTATATTCAACTTTCTCTTGCTCCACACAAACTTTGAACTTTTGTAACCTCGCAGGAGAAGATTTGACATACTTAACAGCATTTCGAAGTGCTGCTATTGAGCTATGCATTTCCTTTAGTCCTTCATTTACAATGAGGTTGACGATGTGAGCAGCACATCGCTGATGGAGAAATTCACCGTCCAAAACAGTGCCCTTCCACCCATTCACCCTCCGTTTGAAAAAACTTAAGGCTGAATCATTGGCAGAAGCATTGTCTACTGTCACCATGAACACCTTCTCAAGCCCCCATCCATGCATACATTGCTCAATCAACCTCCCAATGGTTTCCCCTTTTCCATTTGGCATGGTACAAAAGTTGATAATTCTCTTCTGCAGCTTCCAATTAGAATCAATATAATGGGCAGTTAGACACATATAGTGTATATTTTGCAAAGAAGTCCAACCATCAGTTGTAAAGGATACTCTCTTACAATCATTGTGTAAAGCAGCTTTCAATTTAGCCTTTTCCTCACTAAATAATTGCATAACATCTCTAGCAACTGTCGTTCTTGAAGGAGGCATAAATTTAGGCTGCATTACTTGGCAAAAGTGTCTAAACCCCTCCCCTTCTACACTCCTAAACGGCAGCTCATCCATGATCACCATCTTAGCTAAAGCTTTCCTACAGGCTTCTTTACTATACCCTATTGCCAACAAACCACTCCCACTTTCACTAGTTAGAGGAAAACTCAACAATTTCTGCTTCTTATCTTCAACTCTAAATGGATTTTTTTTTGCATTGCTTTCTTAAATGAACCAACATGCTACTTGTCCCATGCGTTCTAGAACTACAAGCATAGTCCTTCCCACAATAATTACACACTGCTCTTTCATCACCTAGATTAGCCCCTTTCTTAATAGTAAAATGATCCCAAACCTCAGATTTCCTAGCAGGTTTTCTTTTACCATTTGTCTCCTCATTTTCTAAATCAATCACATTTTTGTTTGGTGTAACTTCAGGGTCAGCCGATTGGGTTTTAGGAGTAACGGATGGGGAAGGTGATGATACAGTTTCAGAAGTTTGGGTGTTGTTGCTTGATGATAATAAGAACTTGTCCATCCTAAATAGAAAATATAACACAATATAATCGTACAGACAAATCAAAAATCAAAAATCATAGAGAATGCCACAATATAATCGATCAACCAAAGTCTCTGTCTTTGGACCTAATTAATACCATAGAGAATGCTAACATCACATTTGTTATTTAGCTTTCATTTGAAATTTAATTGGCAGAACCAATTAAATTTAATTGGACCTAATCAAAAATCATAGGCAGGCCGCAGAACCAATTTTTCACAAACTTAATACAAACTTAAATTTTTCACAAACTTAATGCTCGTATCATAGGCAGAACCAATTTAATACAATAACAATTTAATTGTTAAGTGTGCCGAATGGTATTGCAACATTTTTCACAAACTTTTAACTACTTGGTGTTAATTAAGCCAGTTATTTGTGTTAGTTGAAAGCCACACATTGACATTAATTAGTACACATGCAACAAGTAATTAAAAGACCAACAATATTCCACACAAACACAAGTGATCGAATAAACAGCCACTGGCGAATGGCGATGCGATTCATGCGAAGCGAAGTGATCGAATAAACTAACCTTCAGAGTCTAAGGTCTGGAAGAAATAGGGATCGATTTCCTTGGGAAATGAAGCGAATTCCTTGGCGATGCGAGCTCTAACGACGGCCAATCGCTTCTGGCAATCCACCGGTATTCTCTTCCGAT